TAACTTTCTAAAGACTGCCCAACCATAACAGCACTGACCTTCGAAACCAGACGCCGCCACACAGTACCCACAGCTATAGGACGAATACCACCACCAGGCTTGACAAGTGGTGTAAGAGGAGCACTAGCAATATACTCTCCTAGTTCCAAAGGACATTTTCCAGCTAGAAAGAGCTAGATTAACCACCCCGGAAATAGATCCTACTAACTCATCTGATACAGCCACAGCAGTACCACTCAAGCAATCCATATGGTGCCGAGCACATAAACCATCCCTACCACAAGATGTGCCACGAGGAAAATCCTAATCCGATCCAAAACAACATCAGAAGTAGTAACGAGATGAAGGTCATCAGGTATATCAGGAAAGGATGGAGGTGGAGAAGCAGGGTGTTTAGATTGTAAACTCGCGAGAGTGGCGTCATTATAAGGAGCAACGCCTGAAGAAGAAAGAACCTGGACTGCAGCAGTGTAATGGCCGCCACAAATCTTCCTACGACACTGCCTGACATTACAATCCTCCAAATCAAGATCCTCATCACCAACCACTGAAAAAGTAGGAGAATCCTCTGCCAAAGTATCCCTCACAAGCTGTAAATTACCACCTGGTGCACTCCAAGAACAAATAGCACGGGAAATACACTCGTCTTGATGCCGACGTTTTACCGAAGACCTAGACTCAGAGCTGCTCCGCGGGCAAAATGTTTTAAGGGTGCAAAGAGGTAACACCAACAAAGAGACCCAACTAGAAATGTCATCAGGCCTAGAGATCACCTTATAAAGGGCACCTTTGAGAACCCAAGAAAACCCCAGACGACACTTGGGAGGTATAGACTTCACAGTTTGAAACCCCTTGGAGAACAAACAGTCAAGAAGAGCCACATCAAAAACACAATGTTGATCTTGCACCAAACCACCTATGTGCCCAAGCTAAGCCGGAGAGGAGGGAGCTTGCGGCTTGGAGAAACCATGAAGCACAAAACGAACAATACCATCTCCTTCATCCGGGGGTGACACAATCTCACTCGGACTATGACGACACTTAGTTCGAAGCGTATGCGTTTTGAAGCAAACCCCACACAGCCAAATCCCCATACGCAAAAAACTAACTTCAGCCTTAGTATAAACAGCCAAATTAGAAGTAAGAGAATGCCGAGTGATATCCCGCGCACCGATACAACAATGACGATCACAAAGATGCTTGATCAAAGAACTTATAGTAAGGCCATTCCCACCCCCCATCTTGACAACCACTAAAACCCACAAAGGGACAATGAAACCTCGCGGACATAGCTTCACCACCACCACAACCAAAAACCACAGCCATAAGCACCTTGAAACACCAACAAAAAACCTATACAAAACCACCAAGAATTGCACCAAAAATAGAAGGTACAAATAGACGCTACACCACAAACCCACAAAACTACACCACAAACCCACAAATGCACCAAAACAGAACTCAAAATTGCTCACCAAAATTGCAGCACAGTTGAACACCCGAACAGAAAACTTTGGAAAATGAATACCGAAAAATAGCTCACCAGATATTGAACACCGATAGAAATAGTAATCACCGACAGTAATAGTGATCACCAGAATTGATCACCGACAGAAATGGTGGACACCGACAGCTGATCGCCGAAAAATGATTATCGCTGAATATATTGCAAAACCACCAGAAATATGACTTACGAGCTTGAAAATATCGCAAAATCACTGCCATAGGACGCCGGAATGTTGCCTGAAACACGTCGGAAAGCCACTTGAAACAGCACCTGAAACACGCTGGGAAATTGCGCCTCGAAACCCCCTGAATTTCGCCTAAGTAAAAACCCGAAACCCCCTAAATTTCGCCCAAGTAAAAACCAAAAACCCACCTGACCTGAACTCGCACAACCTGAAATCCGGTAAGCCGCTTGAAACCTGTTGGAAAGACGCCTGAAGTAGCCTGGAAAACGGAAGCTTACCCTACCCTAATCACCCCTAATAGAATCTATTATTATTATTATTATTATTATTATTATTATTATTATTATTATTATTATTATTATTATTTCATTAATTTTAATTATTATTATTATTATTGAGAAAATCAATGTTTATAAATATATACTAATTAACTTGAGCAAATCGAGATCGATTTGGTCAAAACTCAACTAGAGTTATCTCGTTTCAAACTCGTAACCTTTATGAGCACGAGTTTAGCAAGCTAAAAGTAACTCATCTCGCTAATTTTTTTACCATTAATAACACTTAATATCATTAGTAATGACTATCATTACTATCATCACCTCGTTGAGCAAACTAATGACTATCATTACTAATAATTAATATCTTTTTACCACAACTGATATTATTACTAGGGGTTTTAATCGAGTTGTGTAAGTCGAGAACAACTCGGTCAATGCTCCGTCAAAACTCGACTTGAGTTGCCTAGACTCAAGTGGAGCAAGCTATAACTTGACTCGATAAGCTCATGAGTAGCTCGATAATTATTTATATTAATAATTAATAATAACAATAACCACTCTCTTATTAAAAAAATGGGTTTAGGTAATATCCAATCACAATCTTGGTAATTACCAAGAAAACTAGGTTCAAGTAATGTCCAACCACAATCATGGTAATTACTAAGAAGACTAAGTTTTTTTTCGTTACTTTATATAAAGCTAAATAAAAAAAAAAAAAAAAAAAAAAGGGCTAGATAATGTCATAAAGTTCAAGCCCAAACAAACTTGGGCCCAAACTTATTAAATATAGCCAATGTTTGAATAACTCAAGCCTTAATGGAGACGGGTGAAATAGAGACAGCGGAAAGCGGTGAAAAGGAGCGATTGTATACGTAATTTGACATTAGGGTAAACTAAAAAGGCTAAATAAAGTGAAGTTTTAGCCCAAATAAATGTGGGCCCAATATTATTGAGTAGAGCCAATATTAAAATAAACTAAGCCTCAAAAAGGGGCCCAAATTATTTGTGTTTTTGTAAGAGAGGCTTAATGTCCCTTTTATAACCTCTCCATCTTAATATTCCTCTTTTTTTTTCAATGTGGGACATCTTGGTAAGACGTCAGTTTGTTCTTTGTTTTATTTTGCTGGGTTGTTCTTCGTTACTGTTTTTTGTGTTCTTTTCTTTTTCTAATGGATTTATTCCTCTTCTGGATCAAAAAAAAAAAAAAAAAAAAAAAAAAAAAAAAACAATTATACGATACTATCAAAAATAATATTCATAATGAATCTTCTATATACTTTCATGGACCACCTTACATGTATTTTAGGGGTTCATCAGCATACATAATAGCATACACGAGCTTATAATATGCTTTGATTAGATACTATAATTACTGGAAAATCCTAAACTGGAAACCAAAAGAAAGAAAGAAAGAAAGAGCACTAAGGTGATAAATATTATGTTGCGGAAATACCACAACATCCTGCTAATTAGTTTTTCTTTTTAGCAACCCCTCTAATTTTTTATTTTTTTTTTGAAGGGATAATCCCTCTTAATTAATACTATTCATTTACTTTTCAAAGTTAAACTTAAGCAAATCTTTTTTCTTAACAAAAGTACTTTATGCTAGCTCTTTCTCACATATCTTTCTTCATCCTCTTTTAATTACATTATTTCATTTGTTCAATTTTAATCAATATTGTCTACTTTTTACAATAATATTTTATCATCATTGTATTAATTTGCCTTTAAACTTAAAATGGGGTGAGTGATAGACATAAGTTCTAACTTTTCATAAAGGAGGTACCAAATTATTTTTTAACTATTGATATTTTATTTTCATAATAATAAAAAAAATTATGAAGGTGGTTGCTAAATTGGATTAACATCCCTAGTGATAATCTTTATTGCTTACAAAAATTTATAAAGTAATATTAATTTTAGTCAATAGTGAGAACCAAAGTGAATAATAAGAACTAGAAATCAATCTCAGCCTTTAACCATGCTCTATCTAACGGGTCACTAGTTACTCACGAGCTTATCAAGCCGATTTATAGCTTGCTCAACTCAAGTGTAGACAGCTCGAGTCGAAACACTTAAACATTGATTTTATTAGTTGAGTTATAACTTGCTCAACTCGTACTCATTAAGGTTACGAGTTTGAGACGAGACAACTCAAGTCGAGTTTAGACCAAATCAATCTCGATTTGCTCAATTCAATTAGTATATATTTATGAACATTGATTGTTTACTCAACTTATGGCATGCCAATATATAAACGTTGTTTTGCTCATTAATACTTAATAATAATAGCAATAACAAGAAGAATAATTATAAAAAGAAAAAGAAAAATTCATGACAATAATCCGACCTTTAGCCCATTCTTTTTAATAATCCGACCTTTCGATTATTATTTAATAATCCGACCTTTGGGGGTCTTTAACTTTTATTGGTCCCAATCGGTCATGTAATCTGTTATAACAGGTTATATGACACGTGGCGGCCTGTGATTGGTCAAAAAAAAAAAATTAAACCAACCCCCCATCCCTGGCAACAGCCCCTGGCAGCCACTTCCCTTCTCAGCCCCACCTACAAAACCACTTCCTCCCTCTCCCCACCGCCAAAATCGCTACCCCTTCCCCGTAACCCCCTCCCATCCCCCCACACAGCCACCACATAAACCCCTCCTCCACGCCCATAAACCTCAAGCCGCCCTTCCCCCCCACCTAGAAACCCTAGCGGTTAGGGTTTTTGATGGTGGGGGAGGGGTGTTTGGAGGTATTCGGGAGTGATGGAGGTGGTTTAAGGGAGTTCGACCATTTAAGGAGATGCGATGATGGGGGAGTTCGATAAAGGAGGGAATTGAAGGAGTGCGGTGGGAGGGTGGGTCGCGTCACCGGCGTGGGGGGGGGGGAGGAAATCGACGCGCAGGAGAGGGGGCAAACCGGCATAGGGGGATGGTGGTTCTGGGGTTTGGGTGGTGGTTCTGGAGTAAGGCGGTTTTCGTGGTGGTGGTTGACGATGGGAGTAGGCTAGCTGGTGGAAGGTTATGGCTGGGGTGGTTTTTGTGGTTGACCTTGATAGGATCAACGATTTTGGTGGCTTAGTCGGTGGTGGGGGTTGCTGCCAGGGGAAGGGAAAATGGAGTAGGTGGCTGGTTGGTGGTGGGGGTGGTGGTTTGGGTGGTGGTGGGGATGGTGGTGGGCTGCCAAGGGAGTGGCTGCCAAGGGATGGTGGTGGCTGAATTATTTGTGTTTTTTAATTTTTTTTTTTTTTTTTTTTTTTACCAATTATGTAGTGACACGTGTATTTTAAAACAAAAAAAAAAATTTACCTCTTTAACCGGTTTCTGGTCAAATGGGACCAATAAAAATTAAAGACCCCCAAAGGTCGGATTATTTAAAAAGAATGGGCTAAAGGTCGGATTATTGTCATGAAATTTTCCTTAAAAAAATGGTGTGAAGGGGGCATTATGTACTTGATAAAATTAAATCCTAGGATCTAATGCGCTGAATAAAAGTTTTAAGCATGAATTAAAATGTCATTGGGAGAATGCTTTGACCGTGATGTATTTGTAACAAAAATGATATATACTCTGTATAATGTTATTTGAAAATGTCATTGGGAGAATGCTTTGACCGTGATGTATTTGTAACAAAAAAACTAATGATATTAAGTGTTAGTAATGATATTCATTAGTTTGGTAAAAATAATTATTAAGGTGAGTTACTTATATCTTAGGGAACTCGTGCTCATCAAGGTTACGAGTTTAAAACGAGACAACTCAAGTTGAGTTTTGTCCAAATCCATCTCAATTTGCTCAAGTTAATTAGTATATATTTATAAACATTGATTTGCTATGAGCAGAATAATTATAATAATAATAATAATAATATGAGAAGAATTTAATAATAATATTATTAATAACAACAACAATAATCATAATAATAATGACACTAATAGTAATAATAGTAATAACAACAATAATAACAATAACAAGAACAATAATAATAAGTATAATAATACTCCGCAACCAATATTACCAAAACTTTTGAGATAACTAATCAAATTTAATTTAATATTTTTATCATAATTTATACATTTTATTGTTTAGATAATGGCTATGTAATTATATGTTAATACTTTACTCTAGAATTGTAATTAATGACTAACATTAATGATACTTAAATTTTTTTGTAAAACAGCTAATATTATCACTAGAGATGTTAATCGAGTTGAGCAACTCGAAGTCGACTTGGACAACGCTTGGTCAAAACTCGACTTGAGTTGTCTCGACTCAAACTGTTAACCTTAACGAGCATGAGTTGAGCAATACTAATACCAATAAAAAATTAGTTATACCAATACTGATACCAATAAAAAAAAATTAACAAGGATATTTTATTTTTCGCAATTAAATAAAAATATTATTGAACTACTCATGAGCTTATCAAGCCGAGTTATAGCATGCTTAGCTCGAGTATAGGCAACTAGAGTCGGGTTTAGACCAAGAAAACTGGGTTTGGGTAAAGTTCAGCCACAATCTTGGTAATTATCAAGAAAATCGGGTTTAGGTAATGTCCATCCACAATCTTGGAAATTATCAAGAAAACTGGGTTTAGGTAATGTCCAACTAACCATAATCTTGGTAATTACCTAAAAAACTGGGTTTAGGTATGTATTATCCATGGACATAAGTACTAATTGATAAATTCTCTCTACGGAAATACAAAATTAATTTATATGATTTTTGATTTTCATAATTAATAATAAAATTACCAAGCTATTCACGAACTTATTGAGTCGAGTTATAACTTGCTTAACTCATTCTCGTTAAGGTTAACAGTTTGAGTCGAGACAACTCAAGTCGAGTTTTGACCAAGTGTTGTCGGAGTTGACCTCGAGTTGCTCAACTCGATTAACACTCCTAGTAATAATATTAGTTGCTTCAAAAAAAAATTATAAAGTATCATTAATGTTAGTCACTAATTACAATTATAGGGTAAAGTATTAATATATAATTACAATTGTTATTACAAAATCATTCCCTAAACAATAAAATGTATAAAATTTTGATAAATAATTTAAATTTAAGTTGATTAGTTATCCCAAAAGCTTTGCTAATGAATTTTGAAAGGTAATATCCATATTAATTAAGCTCATGTAAAAAAAATATACTAATAATAATAATAACAATATCAACTCTCTTCATATAAATAAAAATAAATAACAATAACAAAACTAATTAACAAAACTCATAATAATTAGCTCGAGTATAGGCAACTGGAATCGGGTTTAGACTAAGAACACTGAGTTTTAGTAATGTTCAACCACAATCTTGGTAATTACCAAGAAAACTGGGTTTCAGTAATGTCCATCCTCAATCTTGGTAATTACCAAAAAAACTGGATTTTTTTTCGTAACTTGATATATAGGTTAAATAAAAAAGCTATATAATGTCATAAAGTTAAAGCCCAAACAAACTTGGGCCCAATGCTTGACTAACCCAAGCCTTAAGTAAAAGCTAAGTTATTCTTACTACTGAAAGAGAGGCTAAGTTTCTCTTTTTATAACCTCTCTGTGTCAATACTTTCTATTTATTTTCAATGTGGTACATTTTACTCAACACAAAATTACTCCATATGAATAGTTTTTTCTTCCTCCTTTATCCCATTACATTGTTTCATTTATTCAATCTTAATCATTCTTGTCTACCTTATACAAAAATATTTCATCACCATTTAATTAATTTCACATTAATTTAAAATGTGTTAGTTGTGAACATAAGTAATAGCTTCTCTCTATAGAGGTACCTATACAATAAAATTTATAAAATTATTAAATTAAGTTGATATATATCTATCCCAAAAGCTTTGTTAACCAATTTTAGATGTTAATATCCATCATTTTTCTATCTCATCTTCTTATTACATTATTTCACCTCTAGTGATAATATTAGTTGCTTTAAAAAAGTTTATAAAGTATCATTAATGTTAGTGAGGACTTTAGTAAAAGTTTGACATAATTTTTCTTTTGATAACCACTTTTAATTGATACTCTTTATTTTATTTTATTTTCAATATGATTTGAGCAAATCTCTCACACATATTTCTCTCCACTCTCCCCATTACATTGTATCACTTGTTCAATTTTAATCATATTGCCTACTTTGTACAATAATATTTCATTAATTTTCCTTAACTTTTCTCTAAAGAGGTACCAAATTATTTTTTAACTATGATATTTTATTTTCATAATTAATAACAATAATTATCAAGCTACTCACGAGCTTATCGAGTCAAGTTATAGCTTGCTCCACTTGAGTCGAGTTTTTACGGAGCATTGACCGAGTTGTTCTCGAATTACACAACTCGATTAAAACCCCTAGTAATAATATTAGTTGTGGTAAAAAGATATTAAGTACGGAGTATTAGTAATGATAGTCATTAGTTTGCTCAACAAGGTGATGATATTAATTATTTAAGGTTAAAAAAAACAAAAAAGGTTAATTAAATCTTTAACTATGATTAGAATTTTACAATTTAATTAATAATTAAAAATAAACCACCACCAACACCATCATCACCACCGCACAACCAACTCCACCGACTGCGAATTCCCACTGGCGATCAGCCCCACCTTCCCCTGCCGGCAGGGCGTTCATCGCAGCCCGTCGCAGGCCTGAGAAGAACAACACCTTCCCCATCGCAGGGTTCCATGGTCGTGGGTTTCGGGTTATAATTAGGGTTTAGGCGGGTCGCCGGCGGTGTCGGGGTAAGGGGAAAGCCGATCTGATGTTCACCATGCCGGCGGTGGGAGAGGGTGGGGCCGGTTTTGCTTTTAGAGAAGGTTTTGGGGATCGCCGGAGATGGCGGAAAGCAGGGAAAGGGCGGTGGTAGGTCGACGCCGGCAGAGGGGGGTGGTGGGTTGGCTGGGGAAGAGATTCGATCGCCGGCGGTGGGTGGAGAAAGCTGGTTGGTGGTTGCCGGCGTCGGTGGTGGCTGGGATTTCGTTCATTTTTTTCCAGAAATTTTTTATTTTTTTTCTGATTAATTTCTATTTTTAAAAAGATTTTAAAACATTTTCTAAAATCATTTAAATGATTTTTGCTAAAAAAAAACAGAGGGCCCACATTTTTTTTAATGGTGTATAGTGTGCCACCTAAAATAGCTTAGGGTGATCAAAACTTATTTGATCACCTTAGAATTTTCATTCTACGTGGGTTGGGCCTCACGTAATATAAAAAAAAAAACGGATTTTGCATTTTCTATGGCTTTTTATCCTAAAAAGCTGGTCTATTTGCTAAGTAACAGCCATACACTGATTATATCAATTATCACTATAAACAGCTAATGCTAAGTAAGTTAACAGACATTACTTCTAACTCTAGAAAATGTCAATGAATCAATCTGAATGAACCGTGTGAAGAAGCAAGATAGAAGTCCTTTCAGAGTATACATATTGCTAGCATAACCTGTAAAAATTATTTCACAGCATAATCTGTATAAAAACACAGAACTTATTCGTGTAAAGAAACAAGAAAGAAGTCCTTTCAGAGTATACATCACTTTGACTTTTATACCATTCACATATCATGTTTGACTTAATTTTTTTATTATTATAAAATAAATAAATAAATGTTAATATATAATATATCATTAGATTAGTCACAATATTTATTTTCATAATTTAAGTTTGTTACAATTTTTGCTAATAACCAATTACAGATATTAATGGTTAAATTACGTCTCAGCAAATTTACCACTCAATTTAAATAAAAAAAAACAAAAAAAAAAAACAGAGGGAGTAATATATTCGAAAATGTCATGCTCTTAGTTTAATGTTAATAGTTTGTGTATAATCGTATAAGTAGTTAAGTACCAAGTACTAAGTAGTATTGTGTCAAAAAAAAATAAAAAAAAATGTACTAAGTAGTAGGCTTAAGCTAGGTTGCACGGACACGCCACTTGGCAGGCGTGTCCGAGTCGACACGCGTGTCGGATACGGACACGCGGTGACACGTGTCCGACACGCAGAAAACCGTGTCCGTTTTTTTAAAAAAAATTCTGATGCACGGACACGGACCGTATCTCCCCAGACACGGTCCGTTTTGTAATGGACACGCACAAATCCTTTTCAAGCCCAGCTTCCTTCATTCTCTATCACATTCTCACAAAAATTGAAACCCTAACTCCCTAAGAAATACCCAGCGACAACCACACAGCCACTCAGCCCGTTAGCTGTCGCTTCACCGTCGCCGGTTACTTATCACCGTCGTCCGTCACTCGTCACCTGCTGCTTGTGCTCGTCTTCTCTCACCGTCGCTAGTCACAAGGACTCAGTGATTCACAACTCAGAACTTTCTTCGTCCGTTCGTCGCCGCTCGCCTGCTAACTTCGTCGTCGCTCGTGACCGACATTGTTCGTCCTCAGTCACCACCCACAGTCTCATTGTCGCCCGTCGTCCGTCATCAGCCACCAGGTATGGTTCTCTACTTTGTTTTTTTTTTTTAAAATTCAATTAATTTTCTGAAATTTAATTGCTCCTTCATGTATACATTCAATTTATTTAACTTTAATTTGATTAGAATCAGGAACAAGTGTACATAATTGATCCTTCATGTATACATCCTGTATACTGTAATGTAATTTGGGAATGAACAACTGAAAATTTGATTTTTGATACTTTGATGTATACTGTATAATTGGCTAGTTGCTGGACTTGTTGGACTCATTTAATTAAACTTTAATGCATTTGATATGATCATGAAGAACTGAAATTGTATTGTTGTCTTGCTGATATTGTCAGGAATGTCTTCTAGTTCCTCTGCTTCATGCAATGTCAGTGGTAGTAGTAATTCATTTGAGTCTATGAAAGACCCCTACCCTTTGTGGAAGTTTGTTGTTAAGGGTGATAGAATATTGGGTGGTGGAGGAAATTATAATTGAAAATGTAACTTTTGCGGCGAAGTTAAAAATGGTTCATACACTAGAGTGAAAGCTCATTTGCTAGGTGAACAAGGGAAAGGGATTCAAACTTGTAATAAAGTGAAAATTGATGACCTTGCTAAACTAAGAAAGCTTCATCGTGAATCCGAGGATTATAAAAAATCTTTGTTACCAAAAGTTCCACCTTTTTCAAATGAACGCATATCTTCTCACACATCAACTAAAGCTACATCAGTGAGACTAGGTTCAGCTGATAATGTAAAGAAGAGGAAATCAAACAATACAATTCCCGATGCTTTTAATATGAAATCTCTTGACAAATTGGATTCTGAAATTGCTAGGATGTTTTACACAGGGGGGTTGCCTTTTAATCTTGCTAGAAACCCTTACTATGTTAGTTCATATACAATTGCTGCCAATTCTAATCTCTCTGGTTATAAGCCTCCTGGATACAACAAACTTAGAACAACTTTGCTTTGTAAAGAGACAGAAAATGTGGATAGGTTATTACAACCTATTAAAGCCGCATGGAAAACAAAAGGTGTTAGCATTGTTAGTGATGGGTGGAGTGATCCACAAAGAAGGCCTTTGATTAACATTATGATTGCTTCTGAAACGGGTCCTATGTTTATGAAAGCTATTGATTGCTCGGGTGAGATTAAGGACATAGATTTCATTGCTACCTTATTAAGTGAGGTGATTGATGAAATTGGAGATCAAAATGTTGTTCAAATAATCACAGATAATGCAAGTAATTGTAAGGCTGCAGAGGAATTGGCTGAGGGTAGGTATCCTTATATATATTGGACACCATGTGTTGTTCATACACTTAATCTTGCAATGACAAGCATTTGTGCAGCTAAGAATGTGTTGAATAATGTTGAAGTATATGATGAATGTCATTGGATAATAGAAGTTCATGCAGATGCCTTGTTCATTAAAAATTACATAATGAATCATTCGATGAGGCTTTCAATGTTCAATAAGTTTTCTCCATTAAAACTACTTTGCATTGGCAATACTCGTTTTGCTTCAATTGTGTGCATGCTTAAAAGGTTTAAACTCCTTAAAACATCACTTCAATCAATGGTTATTAGTGAGAATTGGTCCTTATACAAGGATGATCAACGCGGGCAAGCCTCACATGTAAGGGAAAAGATTTTGGATGAAATATGGTGGGAAAAAGTTGATTACATTCTTGATTTCACATGCCCAATCTATGATATGATTAGGCTTTGTGACACCGACAAATTTTTCTTGCATTTGGTTTATGAAAGATGGGAAATTATGGTTCAAAAGGTGAAAGATGCCATCTTCAAGAAAGAGGGTAAACTAGATTATGAAGAATCTACCTTCTTTAACGTAGTTAAAGGGATTCTTAGTAGTCGTTGGAGTAAGGGTAGTACTCCACCCATTCATTAGCACATTCTTTGAATCCAAGTAAAGTTTTACTTATTTAATTCATCTTTATTTATTTTTCCTTGTTTTTTATTTAATTTCTTATGGCTAATCTTATTTTGTTGTTAAAGATTTTACACGGAAAAATGGCTTAATGAGGTCTCGGGACGAGTTGCTCCAAATGCCGACAATGAAATTTCCACACAAAGATTACAATGCTTTCGAAGGCTTTTCCAAAGTCCCGATGAAAGATTCAAGATCAACACGGAATTTGCAATATTTTCACAAAAATCAGAGAGGATCTTTCTCAACATTGATTGTATGCATGATATGGCTTTGATGGATGATAAAAATTGGTGGGCAACTTATGGTTCCCAAGTGCCTATGCTTCAAGGTTTGGCTTATAAGCTATTAGGTCAACCTTCTTCCTCTTCTTGTAGTGAAAGGAATTGGAGCACCTATAAGTTTTTCATTCTTGCACTAGAAATAAGCTTACTCCTAAACGTGCTCAAGACTTGGTATACATTCATAACAACCTTCGATTACTTTCTAGGAGAAGTGAAGAATACACCAAGGGGAGATCTAAGTTGTAGGATGTGGGTGGAGATGAGCATGACAACCTAGGAGATGTTGGTATTGTAGAGATGGCCGAGCTCTCACTTGATGAACCCGAGATGGAAAATATGATTTTTGATGATACTTGGTGATGGTGAAGAATGAAAATATTAGTACTTATGTTTATTTTATTTATGATTTGTAAAACTATTATTAAGACATGTATTTGGTTTGATGGTTTCTTGATATGTATGCGACTATGTTTGTACACTTTATTTATTTACTTGTTCTAACAATATTGTGTGTTTTGAGGCTAATTATTTAGTGTTTTATTGAATAGGTTGTCAAATTCTTGTTTTTTTTGATATATTATATGCCTTGTTATACGCCGTAGTCGTGTCCCTATCTTAGGATTGCCGTTTTCCCGTGTCCGTATCGTGTCCGTGTCGGTATCCATGCAACATAGGGCTTAAGTGCTTTTAGCAACTTGGTGGGCCTGGTGGTTCTCGTTTCCTTTTGTCCTGGTTTATTCTTAGGCTTTTGTCTCCTGGTACTACATTTTAGGCTTGTATTAGTACTAGAAGCTCGCTACTTTGGACTGTTGTAAAAATGTTTAAGGCCTTTTAGGAAATTGTTATTACCTACACCCCACTATAGTTAGTAGTACTACCTACACCCCCCTTCCCTACCTTTTCATGTAACTACTATCTTGTTGAACAAAATATTTTTTTGAAGAAAAAACGGGGAATAGATTAGGTTAGAGTAGTAGAGTTTCAGACTCAGGTTGGATGCCCGTAGGCGATCCCAAAATATAGCCATGGCTATTAGTTTGGTGTTCAAAAGAAGCTAAGTCATGTTGTAGAGCATTAATACAGACATTTGGAGGAGTTTCTAAACTACAAATCTGATACATTTGGAATTGATCTCCTCTAGCATGCTTAGCAAGGATGTCAGCCACTTTGTTCTTTCCCCGCTCTCCATAGTTGATGGTGACTTCATGGAGAAGCTCCAGCTGCTGCCTGCAGTTAAGAATAAAAGACAATAAAAGATTAGCATTATGGGAATTAATGTCTTCTACTGCTGCCTTGAACAAAAAAATTTACTCACATTTTCTCTCTCCTCAAAATTGTACCTACTACTACATTTTCTCTCTCCTCAAAATTGTACCCACTTTTCACTCCACTTTCTCTCTCTTAAACTACTAAAATCTCTCAAATTTCTCTTAAAAAAAAATCAAAATTCGCTTAGATTTCAATTAAAATATTAGATTTAAAAGATGAACAAATCTAGGAAATTTCATCAAAAGAAAGGTCAAAAATCAAATTGTAAGTTATTTTTGTTTATTTTTTGAAGAAGAAAAAGTTGTAAAATCCTAACTTTTTGCCTTGTTTTTCTAGTTATTCTCTCTACATATACTATTAAATTTCAGTAATAGTAGTTCATTATTCTTATAATTTTTATCTAATAATGATTTCTTATGATTATAGTAGAATGATGTTTGGTATTATCTATTTCAAGTTGATTGAACTTGTGGTGTGTGTTATTAGCTTGTAAAATTACTGGACAAAAAAAATTAAAAATATAGTTCAATTGCCTTAATATAATGGACAATTTGAGCTATTTAGTAGGATCATAGAAATGTAAATTTAGTTCGTCGTGGAATTTTTTTTATTTTCTTATAAATGTTCATTTTCATTTTAGTAAATATTCATTTATATATTAGTATATGTTCATTCACATATTAATAGATTATCATTAAAATCTTCATAGATGAAATAAGAAATTTCAATTAGAGTTTGTGATTTCTCATAGTTTTAATGGAAGTGATTCTTATTATAACTATTAAATTATGTTATAAGAATTTTTCATAATTATAACATAATTTAATTAAAATTAAAATTGTTATTCGGTGAATTTTGGCTAGTACATTTTATCTATCATAAATGTTCATTTTAGAGACTTATGTTCATTTGTAGAAGAATTAATATTCCAATTATAATTGGCAAAAAAAAATATTCAAATTATAATAACTAAAATTAAAGACAAATTATCAATTAGATTTATGAAATTGAACCATCAATAATCATTTATTATTACTTATTTTGTCACTAAAAACTTTTATATGACTAATTTTGGCTAGTAAATTTTAATCTATCTATTGTACATGTTCGTTTTAGATAGAATTCATGTTCATTTACGATCATTTTCTTAATATATATTCTTTAAATTTGATACGTGTTCATTTTCGTTGCATTACATGTTCATTCTCATATTGAAAAATGTTCATTCTCATATTGAAAAATGTTCATTTGCAATTTAATACAATATTAATTTTTATATCTAAGCATATTCATTTTATACTTATTCATTCTCATATTAACAGAGATATATTTGTTAAAAATTTTAATACTTGTTTGTTATTAATAAATTGTTCGTTCTCGTATTGAAGATTTTCATTGGACTTTTGGTAGATGTTCATTTTTATGTTGAAAGATGTTCATATAAATTGTAATAATTGTTCATTATCATATTGAACTATGTTCATTTTCTGGCAATGTGTTCATCTTTGTTTTTCTAAATGTTTATTTAATTATCCTGTTTTATTTATAGTATATTTTGATTGTTCCTAACATCTTTCTTTACAATACTTTGATCTCTTATTACATAGGATAATGAAATAAAAAAAAAAGGTGAAGACAATTATGTATATATTGAGGAAAAGATATGTATAAGTTAAAGGAAAACACAAAAGTATCATAAGAGTAAAAAGGGTATAACTGTATGACAAGGACGATGATTCTATATACTTTTTATTTATAATAAATGTATAGATTGAAAGACAATAATCATTTTGTAAGGCACATAAATATGATATGTATACTTTTTAAGTTTAAGATTTTCACTTTTTTTTTATTGTTTTTAAACTTAAGCATGTGTACATTTGAAAAGTTAAAAGAGTTCTTTTTAATGCTTAAGAAACAATGACTATATATTGATTTAAAATGATATTATTGTTACATAATATATGTATTTAGTGGATGCCCATTATACCTCTATGATTATTCTAGGATATTCTAGATATTAGATTTATTATTCTACAAGAAAACCTAATTGTGTGTGTGTATACATACATATATATATATATATATATATATATATATATATATATATATATATATATATATATATATATATATATATATACTCCCATATCATTCAGTAAAAATATAGATCTATTCTCTCCTCAACTTTCTTCCCTTTCTCTTTAATTTTATAACACGTTATTAGCACCAGATCTAGCCAACCGAGCAAATTATCAAGGGAACTTGATAGTCTCAATATTAGCAATATCAAAGCAACCATAAAACTCAATACGACGGATTCATTTGATTGATACCGCAAATATAGATGTTGCCAAAAGGTACGCTTATATCCCTTTTGACGATATGTTAAAGTCATAGTAGTAGTTATATATGCACTTTTTGTACATAAGCCACAATCAAAATTAGATGATATAGCGTTAATCGATTGAGTGGATCACCTAGAGAGTTAGTTCTCATAGTCAAAGTTCCACATATGATTTATAAGTTCTTCAATTAAATTGTTTTAAATAATTTCTTGATTGATAATATCTACAATGTTAATAATCTTCGATCTGCTTTAAGCGATATTATATACGGACAATGATATTCATCCATTGAAATTGCATAATAATGAGTTAATGACCATTAAGCCTCCTCATATCTACTTATGTTTGTTGTTTTGTTTTGCTCCACATCATAATCTATTTATGTTTGTTGTTTTGTTTTGTTTTATATATTTTTCCTGAGCATATTATATAGTCAAACACAATTAATTTCATATACTATATTTAATTGACTCGATGTTTAAGATTAAAATAGTTTTGTATTATTCCAATTCACCTGCCTTCAGCCTCATATAAACAACAATATTTATTTATTTATTTTGGTGTCTTTCAAATCATGTCATAATCTTGATCTCATTGATACTCGTATTTGATAATTTTTCATAATTGATGGCATCGTTGAATGATCAATTGTTTAATTTCTTTTACTTATTTATGTTAATATTAGCACATAAACATGTAATTGTATTTCTAATTAGTTTTTGTAAATACTTAATTTGTGGTCAAAGTGGTTAGCACACCTTAACAATAACTTCCAATATTTTTTTTCCACCTATATTGCAGCTTCTGTTATTGCTACTTACGGTTTGCACTATGTTTATAAATACATGTGATACTTCTCTAAATAAAGTAATCAAAATATATACTTTTCTATCTACTTTATCTTTCTATCCTATTCTCTTAAATCTTATTATAGATCCATAATTAATCAACTTATGAAAAGATTAATTTGGTTTTGCGATTCTATGATTTCCTTGATTTAAGTTTTGATCATAAAGGTAGAATTGTTGTCAATGTTTTGACTTGACTTGATTGAGAGTAT